CTCCCCCCCCTCTTTTTTTTTGTTTTTTTGGGTCTTGATCATCTTTTGGTTTGTCTGTCCTAATCCTGATTTGTCACTTTCTTGGGACACATGGGGGAGGTCTCTCCTTATTAAGTCTCACATTAATACCACATTTCCTGTCCTTGTTGCCTGTTTGACATCCTTCAACATCCTGTATATGACATGAGAATTCTGACTACAAGAGTTTAATAATACTGGTGCAATACTGTATTGCTCCCATTTTGTGCCTACTGATTCAATACTTTAGGCTTCTGATTTTTGCCCAGTGAACTGCCTGATAAGATGGCTGCTGAAGAGGTGCTTGCTAAGAAGAGAAAGTTTGTCACGTGATGCCTGTTTAAACTTTCCTTAAAATGACTGAGAAAACAGAATGTGACATTTCTTGTCTTGCATTAGTGAAATGCAAAAAATAACAAACAGTAATGTTGGAAAACAGATTTTGTTTCATTAATCAGAAATTCATCCCTAGTTTTACACTTCACGTTAACCACTTGTGAGTTAAGTGTAATAATTACTCAAGTAATTTCACATGCATTTTTTCTGTGCAGACACCCCCACATCAGTAGGGGTCTCGAATCAAGTGTTATATAATACCTTCAAGGGTTTGGTTTTTTTTATCGTGGTGCTTTTTGTTTGTTTTTTTTTTTAACTGTTGCTCTCCCTTTTAAGCAGTGCTTGCCTATACTATATTTTTTGCTCCAACAGCACGGACGTTTTAATTTCATGTCAATTTTTCAGCTGTGAAGTGATTCGGGACTGGAAGACTGGTGAATCTCTTTGTTATGCTTTCATTGAGTTTGAAAAGGTACGTTTTTTAGGTTCACTGTATGTAGATTCTGCTTATGAAAGTTCATTTTTTATATACTTCCATTAAGGAAAAACACTGAAATCTTGAAGTGTGGGGTAGCTAATTTTTCTCTTACTGGCTTAGTTATAGAAGTTGTAGGCCCTAAATGAGGCAAACATTTAAGTCTTTATTCAATCAAGCAACACAAATATGTACTTCTTAGGTTGTCTTGAAACCAGTGCGAGGAGAGCAGGTCCCTTTTTTTCCCCAGAACACATAAGGCCTTTGAAGAGTTAAAGAAGAGAATGAATGCTAGGAGAAAAAGGAGGCAAGCTGCATAAAGAGAGGAGGGTGTATGAAAGCAGGTAGATCAGTGTGTACAGTAGTGTCCTATATTGGGCTTGTAAATGATGCTTGCTTTATCAACATGCTCTTACTGTGAGATTGACAGTAATAGTTCTCTTGATGGTGCATAGCTTCTTGTTTCTAGCTGCTGATCTCTCTTAATCTGTGAGGGAAAACTGGAAAACACTGGAAAAGTGTTCTCACTTTTCTTCAGTCTACTTATGTGCTTAAAATGGAGCTTTTATTAGTTGTCCTTTTTTTCGTTGTTTTTCTGAATGTATTACGTGTCAAACACGTAGCTGGATTGGCAATTTTTTAAAATAGTGAAATTAACTGAAGACTTGGACTTTGAAATGCTGACATTTGGACAAAGCATAACTACTTCTTTTGAAATGTCACAATGCAAGAACTGCTGTGCTTTAGGCAATTTTAGAAAAAAAAAAGTATGCCATTAAGCAGTTGAATTTGTGGTTGAGCTCTTCAGTGAATATTCCTATGAAATAATCATGACTTAAAATTTTCTGGAAACATTAATATCAGGAGGAAGACTGTGAGAAAGCCTACTTCAAAATGGACAATGTGCTGATAGATGACAGACGGATACATGTAGATTTTAGCCAGTCTGTTGCAAAGATTAAGTGGAAGGGAAAAGGTAGGTACAGTTGCAATTCTTTGACGCTCATAACTTAATAAGCTGTGATTTCTAAACTGTAAGCATTATACAAATAGAAGGAATTTTTATGAGTTTAAATCATGACATCTTCAGGGATATAAAATTCCTGGTACTCTAATAAATAGAGCAGCACAGTTGGTAGCTCTTCACTTACTCTGTAAGAAAGAGTAGAAGGGTTTACTACTGTTATATTAACATTGCATTGCCATGAATTACCTTTTTATCAGATGTATTTTTGCCACTAAATAATTTGTTCCTCTCAAGCTTTAAAAGTAATGGGTTTTGATATTCCTTATTAGCAAAATAATATGGCAGTACATTGTTACTTTCTAGTTTCTTTTCTTTATTCATTGTGTGACAGTCGAATGTATACAAGAAAGTCAATATTCAGGCCAGGGATTTCCCTTCTTCACCTCCTGTAGGTCAAGCATATTGCATAGCAGGCTGTATGTTATAAAACCCAATTTCAGATGTTTGAGGATGTTTTGGGAGGACAAAGGTGGTGGGAGAGGTTATTTGGTTGTTGGGGACATCAGGAAAACACTGGACTTGGAGAGGTGACTGTGCATTGCAGTGGTGATGTTCTTGTGCGTCTTCGCCTAAAAATGCAGTCAGCCTTCAATTTTTTGCATCCAGTTTCTCCAGGCTGGGGACTAGTCATGGACACTGAGGTGCTAGAACTTGCCCTGCACAGAGCTGAGATGACTTTGTAATCTATAGCATGCTCCGCAGTGCATCCTGTACTAACTGACTATGTGGAAAACTATTCTTTATCTGGGTAACTTAGGTCTAAATTGTCCTAAATATTGGAAAGCTAACTGTATTGTTTTCTTGTTGTGCTTATATGGTACCCAAAAAATGACCTAGGGGAGGTGTTGTCCTTCTTCCACCTTCAGTAGCCGTTTCTGACCTAGCCAGTTAATATTGCAGTTTTAACTATGACCGTGAGATGGCAGCACATTGCTGTAGAATAGATTATTAATCTGTGAGTTGGTACTTTCAGGTAAATGGATGGAAAATTAAATCTGTCATGCCCGTCTTTAAATCAAGACATGACAAATTTTTTTATAGTTTTCCATTTGAATTCTTAAACTGCAGCTGTCTCAGAGGATTCCCTTCGTGCATCCCTGAGCAAAAAAGTAATTTCATAATGAGAATAGTCTGTAGGCTTTCATGGTAACAGAATTTTAAGTAGTGTGACATAGGACCTGTAATCAAAGTGGGACTAAACCAGTTGCTGAATCCTGCTTTGTGATCCTGTTCATGTGTCGTCTCCACTGGACATGAGTGAGGAGAAAGCCGTATGTTGTTCATGGGATCTGCAAGCAAGAGAAGGACAAAAAATCACAACTTGTCCTACTCTCTTCTACTCTGTTACCCAGATGTCAGTGTTGTTTCTGGAACTGTGTCCTGCTATGTATATGTATATGGTTATGAAAAGCCCTTAAATTCATAAGCAGAACTTAATTATACATATGAGTCTTGGTTGTTTTTTTTAGTTGGAGTGAACTGAATATATTTTTCTGTGGACAGGTGGGCGGTATACCAAGGACGATTTCAAAGAGTACGAAAAGGAACGTGACAAACCTTCAAAACTTTCTCTGAAAGAGAAGGTAAAACCAAAGCAGGAGTATCCTTTTCTGGTCAAAGGTATTTTTTGAACTGAGTACAGTTTATGAAAACAGCCTGGAAAATCCTTCTTAAAGCTTGCCAAATGGATGTTTTGCGGCTGCTTCATATAATTATTTGGTGTTTGAGATGGAATTAAGCATTTTGCATTTTTCATTTGATGACCTCAATGAATTTAGTCAAATCAGAATGTGCTGTTTCACTTCCATGTTGTGTGCAGGTAAATAACATTTCAAGTCTACAGCCCTGGAATGACATATGGCATAACAGATTTTTAAGTTGTTTCAGAGGGGGCCTGCTGCATCCAGAACGAGACCATAAGATTAACTAAATCATGCTCTGAGATTATACTCTGCTTGTGGTCACCATGAGAGAGAAGACGACCATAACTTGTTCCACAGGTAGAAAAGAAAGGAGAATTGGGACCTGGCTGTACTGTTTGACAGGACAGAATTCAGTCATTTTAGCAGGGCTGATTTTTTTTTCAATGTGTACGATCCTGTTCTGACTGAAATACATGGGAAGCCTTGGTAAACCCTGGTCTGATAAGCAGGGATTTGTTTGCTTCATGAGCTTTTATGTTCTGCTGTTTATTGATATTAACTAACAGATCTGTCCTTAACCAACACTATCAGTGCCAAGTATGACCTTGTGCTGGATGAGGATATAGAAGAGTCTCAAACAAGTCAGTCGCACTTGGCTAAAAAACAAAAGAAGAAAAAGCACCACCACTCTGAAGATGAAGAGGATGACAAGAGGACCAAAGCATCTAAGGTCTTGTCTCTTCCTGCATTAACTTTATACCTGTTTATTGTCCTCCTAATAAGAGAAGCCAGGAAAAAAAAGTCTGATACTGAACTGAAGACATGGCATGCAAAGTCCTGTAAAATACAGCAGCTGTAAACATACAGAAGGCTGATGTTAGTATCTGATTATGAAAGCGGCTTTCCAAATCTTCCTGGGCTTTTGAAGCTTGGCATGTCTGAACAGCTTATTGCCAAAACATCCTGAAGAGGCAATATAGCCTCTCATAAAGTAGATCTTCAGCACTTTGAACCTGTTGTTCCATGCTTCCAGTCACGAACTAGTAGTTAACCACATTTCATGAATGCAAACTATTTCTCATTTTCTTGCCAGACCTGTGTGTGTTGGCTTTTTCTTATATGGAATCAGAAACACAATCTCTTTGTGTGTTTTTTTTTGTTTTTGTTTTTCCTTAATTGTTTTGGAAGTGTGTGTGTAAAATCTGTATGCAGGTTTGCTTGCATCTGAATTGTGCAAGCATGCAGTGCTGTAAGACTGAGGCTGTGGAGGAGATCATCAGAAGTTCTGTCCTCCATTAGTTCCACTGCTGCCTGTCAGGTCAGAATTCTGTCATTTCTGTGAACTTGGAATAGTCAAGGTGTTGATGTTTCATGGAAATGATGTCTGCAATGATAAAGTGGAGGGTTAACTACCATTGAAGCGTGAGCATTCAGAGAATTGAGCTAAGCTGAAAAACAAAGAAAACAACCCCCAATATTTTAACAATGCAAGCTTTATGAGTCAGAACAGCTGTCTTCTAGCAACTTTGCAGAAAGTGATAAGGTTCCAGCCACAGTAAATAAAGTCTTGGTATGAGTTTTGAGTACTGCCTTTAAGTTCTTCCTACAGAGAGCATACATGATTGTGTTGTTCCATTGCATCACTTCTTGCTGTGATGCTAAAAATAACTTTTCTCATGAACATAAGCAATTAAATTTTTTCAGTGCCACCAGTGAGCCCTATCAGTCATTCTTGGCACACAAGTCTTTTTGTCACTGTATACTAATTCAGTTGGGATCCTTTGGGTGGAGGGGAGGGACCTGTTCAGATAATTAGTCTCGACTGGAGCATATACATACAAGAGGTCTGGACTAATGTTGGTTTAGACTTCCTCCTGTCTTTTTGGCTGACTTACATTGTCATTTTAACATCTTGAAACAGATATTTCTGGAAGTAATCTTTGTTCTTGATGGTTCAGAAATCACACGTGTGGAACTGGCTGGCTGTGTGTTACCAGCAGAGAACATTTTAGAGTCATTCAGATGTCTCCACCCCTGCAGGTGGTACAAGAAGTACTGGTAGCTATTGGCTGTAAACCCGTTAGAATTGTTACAAGGGGACTGCGAGACACAATAGCAGTGGACTTCATAGCACAAAAACATGAGGACAGTGGGATTCCTGGTACTATTTCCAGGTTCTGGAAAAGAGTATTTTCTAGTGCTTGACTCTGTGATCTCTTCTGTGTCTCTATCTCTTTGTGATTTAATCACCTGCACCTATTGTGGTTTGTTCCTGTAGTCTGCTGCTGCTGTATTCTGGTATCTTCTTTCCCACTGCTTTCCTCCTTTGCTCACCTTTACCTGTTTCAGTGTAAATAGCTTGGCCTTCTTATGCCCAAAATCACAGGTGGAGGCTTACTTCTATTCTCTGATGGCAAGCAACATAGTTCCCTCTTGCAGCTGTGAAAATGAATTTCTGGGAAGAATTTTTCTCTGTGTCTGCACTTGAACATTCTTGTTAGTGTGTACTGTATAGTATGTACATACTGAGCAGTGTGTACTCGGTCTCATTTAGAGTGTCTTGGGCATGGCCCTTTCCAGATGAAATCTGCAGGCAGCTTAGCTGACAAATCCTGTTTAGCATATATACAATGTAATTTTATTTTTTTTTTTTAGGTTTAAAATTTGGGCATAATCTGGGGAACTTGCACAAGAACAGGGGAAGGAAGCATGTTCTTGAGGCAGAATATGTTCAGTGTGAATACTGAGGCCAGCACAAAGCATAACAGTAGGGAAACTTTTTTATGAATGGTAGCATTTTTAGTATAGGCAAACAAAGCATTTTCCTTTAACCCTATTTTGGAAATACTAGAATGTATTTGAGGTAAGAACTTCAAAACAAAACAACAGCAGACCTTCCACAACTAGTTGGTCAAAGACCACAGTAGCCATGCTTCATACATAAACTTCCACCCTGAGTCCCTAGTGTGGCAGAGGTTTTAATTAACAGACAACAGGGTCTTATAATGGGAAGTTCTGGCAACTGAAACTGCAGTTCGTGCTACTAGCTCCAGCTATGACTTGAAGGGGATTTATTTTCCAAATAGTTTCCATGATGTTGAGTCATTTTTCTGTTATCTTGCTGGTTTTTTTTTTCTTTAGTATATTTTGACTCATCCTTTTCTTAGTCTGACACACGTTTCCTGAATCTTCAGCCTCTGTGTTGATGTGTTAAGAATATATTTTTGAATCTTGTGCGGTTTGACTTGATTCCAGAGGGTAGAAGAGGTATGGTGTTGTGGCTTGCTTTTAGTAGGTAACAGGATGTGGGTCTGGAGCAGGAGGTTGGACTACGGTGCGGGTTTGTGAATAGGATTTGGTAGCATATCTTTGAATACAGGTCATGCAACTGCTTGAGATCTATGTTATGACTTTGTCCCTTTTCCAGTTTTCTCTTAGAGTTTACTATGTCTGTGTATGAGTGTATCCTCATGTGTTTTCTGTATGGGTCATACCCATCAGTCTGCAAAATACAACTTATTTTTCATTACCTCGTTATTTCCATTTCAACTCATGCAATTTGTGTTACTGTTTGACTGTACATTTAAAAGGATCGGATTCTCTGTGGTGCCTTTTCTTGTGGACTTCTAGCTTCAAGGAAGTAAAGTTCTTTGTGTGTGTGTAGTTGGTCTCTGTAACAGTGTCATTCATTTTTCTGAAGCCTAAAATTTAGGCCATTAGAGATTATTACAGGCAGGTTTTCAAAAGTGTTCTGCATCTTCTTAGCACTGGAATGCCCGTGGGGCTTGAGCCAAAACCTATGATGGAAATACTTGCATTGCTTACATAAGAAGTCAAAATCCAAATCTAGCTTGTGTGGTGCTTATGAAGAGTTTGATAATATCCATCTGAGTTGAATCCCTGATATAACCAGTTTTGGTAAAGCTTCTTAGGAAATACAAGCAGCAGCATGCCTGGCAGCCATGCTTTTCTCCATAAATCCTGACAAAAACTGTAGACTTACCTTCTTCATATAGTTATGCTGGGTTTTTTTTAATGTGGGGTTTTTTTCCAAAACATCAGGGATGTGAATCTATTTCAGGTGGTACCAGCCTTAGCTAAGGAACCAATGATGCTTGATTCTTTTCTAGTTCTCTTCATGTCTGTGTATATTTTTCACTTTTGTCTGTAACTGCATATCCATCCAATTCCTTTAACAGGATTCTGATCGAAAACATGAAGGAGAACGCTGTAGAGAGAAGATAAAGAGTGAGAAGAAAGACAGGCATCGGAGTCGCAGCCGATCTCAAGAGAGAGACTACACTTACAGCAAACAAAAAGACAAATACAAAGAGGACTTCCGAATAAGAGACTGGGATAAAAAATCAGACAGAAGCAGAAGTCCTAAGAAATCAAAAGACAAAGAGAGGTCCAAGTACAGATGAAGGACGAGGGAAAGAGAGGGGAACTAAAATGCGTTTTCTTCCAGCATTTCTAACATTCTCTTAAATGGACGTGCAGTTACTGGACAAAAGCAGTTGCCTTCTGTTGGCAACTTGGCCTTATAATTCTATGAATGCCCAGTGTATGACTGTCGGAGTAAGCCTTGATTCCAAAAAGGTGGTTTCAATAAAGTATTTCACGTTAGTGAAATGGTTTTGAGTGTCTGATAAGAAATGTTGTCTAAAGCTTTTTGGAAACATAGGCATGCGCTAACAAGTGAAGTGTCCTTCTCTGCTGTGAAGAGATTTGCAGGACATACCTCCTTTCTACAAGGAGGTTGTATTTACCTTTCAGCACTTTCAGATGCTATGGTAATGAGTGTGATAGAAGACCTGGGGAGACAGAAATGTGCTGTGCAGATTCATTCCAGAAAGTGGGCAGATACCGTTTGTATATGAATACTCAAAACTCTACTTCCTTCCTTTAAAATTAAGTGCTTCTGGTTGGCTTAGTCCCATCAGCTCTGTTTGCCGACACCACTGTGCAGCAGTGGTTAAAGGCCCTGAAGTACTGCTGTGCTGCTTGCAAGGGCCATGGAAGTGCTGCACCATACTAAATCAATTGCACTTATTTGCTTGCTCACTTACACAGATCACTTGGCTGTGTGGCATTGCTGGAGGAGTCTCAAAACTGAGATTCACTTGATACTTTGCCCACCTGTAGTCACTGTTAAAGATCTGTCCTCTGTAGTGTCAGGGGGATGCAGCTGCTGTGGTGTCAGGCAAATTATGTTGGGTGGGTAGGAAAGAAGAAAATAGTCATTAGCAGAAAAGCAGAATTTGTAACTTGCGTTGCATTTGCCAAACCTAGGTGGGATTAGTTTTCAGGTTTTGTGGCAGAAGTAGGTTGGTTAATAACTTTTCATCTAGAGAGGAATGCAGGTGATGTTATCAGAGCTTGGGTCTTAGTGAAAGTTGGCAGGGTCTTAAATGTCTGGCTTGCTCCTCGCCATTTAAACAGTGTTAGCCAGTATGCATACATTTTAAGAGCATGTCCTCCTCTTTCTCTCCAGAGGAAGAGTGATCTTGCATTGTTAGCAGGGGAGGGGAGACATGGGGAATAGTATTTGTCTTCCCCTCCATGGAATGTGCGATGGCTCAGAGGCAATCTGCTCTGATGAATAAATGTAACTTTTTTTCTTTTGTGATTGTGTAATACTTGCTGTAGTGTCTGATCGTGATATGTAATACGATTTTTATAGCTATTTTTTATAGCTTGATCCCCCCTCATTGGAACATGATCTACAGGACAAAGACCAAATCTAAAATTCAAGGCAGCCAAGAAGAGTCACTGGAAATTACTCTGCCCTGGAGGGCCAGTAGCTGTGCCTGGCTAGAGCATTTGAATGGACTGTATGCAGAAAGTGAACTTCTGATTAAGATGCTTCTATGGGAAGGCTGGTACTAAAAGAACAAAAGCAGCTCTTCACCCCATGGCAGAAAATTCTGACTAAGCAGGCTAGGCAAGACACCTAGAATCTCCAGACCGAAGCTGAGCGGTGATACCAAGAATATTGCATGTGCTTTCCAGCAGCATCTACCCTGTCTTTGCTTTATTAAAGACTAAGTGTATTTGGCTAAGAAGCTGCCTTTTGCTGACTCTCTCCTTTCTAACTTGTGTTTGTGTTTCAAAGCATAGAACTAGAAATCCAGGCTTTCCATAACTGTCTCAGGACAAATCGTTTTTAAGCCATTGGGAACTTGCAGGGTCCTGTGCCATCCTTGCAGCATCTGAGCAAGAGTACAGGGCCTGCTGTCCCAGAGGAGAAATAAAGAAGAAGCCTGTTCTTGGGAGTCTGTCGGGGGAGGCCTGGGACTGAGGACTGCTCACTGTTCTTGTCAAAAAAGCTTCTGCCTTCAGTCTGGGTATAGGAAGACTTCCAAAGAACTGTACTAGGCCAGGATATGATGCATCTGGGGTAGTGCTGCTGAGGCAGTAGGGTTTTCTCTAGCTCCTCCTGCTTTTAGCCTGCTTTGTTAAAGAAATAAGGTTTGCACTGTCATACTGTCCTTGGTTCTTTTCCACAGCATGTTTTTAACATGCAAAAAAACTCTGGCCAAATTTGACAGGGATATGGAGATGGTAAAGCAATTGAGTTCTTGCTGCTTTTAGGAAATGGCAGTCACAGAAAGAGGAAAGAAAAAAAAAAAAGCTTCCACTCTGAGAAAAAGCTGGATTCTTGGTGAACACCAGAGATCCTCTTATGGGAGAGATGGTAAAAGGGACTTAACAGCGTGAAGAGAGTCAGCAGGCATTCCTAGGCGTCAGCTAGCCCCAACCACCTGTGGGACATACAGAACTTCTTGATGTTTAGAAACAAACACCCTATTTCAGGTGAATGTGCTTACTTCTTTGCAGCAGAAATGGCTTTTTTTTTTTCTCGCAACAGGAAAATGCTTAAGAACTGAAAGTTTGTACAGGTAGTGTATAGAAGTAAAACAGTCAATTTGCGTTGGTGGCCAAAGAGTCTTCAGAATAAAGGGTTAAAAAATAAGTACATCCAAAAGGTTTCATGTTTCTGATTTTCAATATGTATTAGTACTTTTAAAAATATAGCCGGTATTTTCAGATTGACAAAATTACCTTTTTATATTTTCAGGATGAAACTTTCAAACATGGATGTTCAAAAATTAAGCAATGCGACAATAAATGATAAATGACAGCAGAAAAGCTCCCTATTTGGAGGCAAGTACTTGATTTTAGGTACTGCTAAATAAGACTGCATTTCTAGGCTACTCTGGTAACACGGTGGAGGGATTGCAGTTCCCCTGGTACACACCTGGATGGCTGAGCACTCTGGGTTAGGTGGGATTTACTGCTATGGTCATCGGAAGTTATGGTTGTGTACATGTGGTTCTTCTGGAAATGATACGAATGAGCCATATGGTCAGCTGAAACCACAAACATTTCCTGCTGTTTCTGTCCTGCTAGAGGTGTTGGAGAGGACGGGAATTTTTATTATCCAGGGGTTGGAGGGTTGACTTGTTTTATTCTAATGAGAGTTCACACTTCCCTATCCTCATTTCCTTTTCGTCAGTGCTATCTCCAACCTCAGTTTCAGTATTGACCTTTGGTGCTTGTGGTAGTTAAAAACCAAAGGAGAACAAAAAACCCCACCTTCCTCTCTAATATCGAGAATAAAATTGAAAATGTCGCAGCAGAAACATCAGCTGCTTCACTTTGACTTAGCTGAGGCCTGTTTGAAGGGGAACTCTTCATGCCTTAGGCTCTCTGTTCAGAGTTAAAGGCTTAAAAACCAGCTCCTTAGAGTTTTCTGTTGGATTCCCTTACCTGTAACAACTTAAAAATACGATGTAGAGTCTGTAAACTGTTGTATTCCATGGATAAGAGGAAGTTAGAGACCTATTTTGTAGTCATGCATTGCAATTCCTTTAGTTCTTTGTAGCTCTCTGTAGACTTGAGGTGGACTTGACCAAAACCATGTTATGAATGGAGTCTGGTCTTAAAGCACTAAAAGCAAATGAGAGAGGCTAGTCGTTTGCAACAGAAATCTCTCTTTAATCCCATGGACATCACACAAGTCAGTAGAAGTAGCATAAGGATTGTGTTCAAGTGGCTGTTATTCCAGGATAGGCGACACAGTAAGCAGTTACCCCAAAACATTTGTGATAACCCTGCATTCATCCTGGTGTCTGCTCTGCTTGATGGCTGTCAGCCTTCTTGCTGATGGCTTCCTCTTTCTTTTTTCAAAGGTCATCATTGTTTATGAAACTCCTCAAGCATAAACCCGGGATGTGCTCTGGGTGGGTTAAGGAGCTGGCAACATGTAAGCATTCTTCATCAAAATCCTGTTTTGGCATGACGACTTGGTGCATTTGCTCTGCCTTTGGGATGTGTGCTGAAAGAGTTGTTCTGCATAGCCCCATGCGTGGATGGAAAAGCGTGCCATGTGTCCCTGGTTCTGGGCTGCCAAGAATCTTTACTCTCTGTAGGTAAAGCTGTACCTGCTTCCTTCCACTTGTCAAAAAATCCCAACAACCACCCAAACAAAACAAAACAAAACACCACAAAACAAAGCACCCCCCCCGCCCCAAACTATTAGTTGTTTGAACAAGCATATTAATTGCACATTTAAGAAGTTAAATTCAAAATTTTTCAGAAGCATTTCTGAATCTGTTGCTGCTTTTATCTTTGTTCATATCACCCTCCTGTAGCCTGATTTTTTCATATAAAAGTTGTATGTTATTGACAACAGGATTACCAGTTTTGCTTGTAGGCTTCCTAGAGCATGGATAATGTCTCTCCTGTTCTGTCAATCACCTGTTGCATACATAGGGATAGCATAAGCAATTTGAATAATGTTAAATTACACTAAGATTTATGTAAAGACTTGTTACAGGGCAGGTTTTTTTTGTGTAAAACTCTTCATCTGGTTGCTGACAGAATGTGCTTTTTCTCAGTGAGCAAGCCAGTATCATCTTGGTTAAAAGTGATAGCTGTGTTTAAAAGGTATCAGTAAACCATATCAAGGTTTAGGTCTTCCAAGTATACAATGAGTCGTTGAAGCTGAAAGACAGTTCCAAGAGCTTTCTGAAACCTTAAGCTGAACAGCAGTAAACTTTTGAACTTGAAACTTGTTTGGGACTTTCTGATTGTAAAAGGTACTTTTTATTATAAGCCCAGTGGAAAACACTTGAGTAATAGTATGTTTTTATACAAAAGGTGGAGGAAAAAATAGATATTTTAGGCAAAAACAAGTTGGCATCCTGCTACATCAGATCTTAAGATGGGATTGTAATTTTCCAAGATGTAAAAGAAGTTACCATTGGCTGTAGTACTGAAATCAGTTTCTTCTCTGTTCTCCCTATTGTGTGGTCAGATGGAGTGCTCACTACTGTGGCATAGTTTTGGGGAGGGAGGAAAGGTGGTCATTTTGGTAAGCATGTAAAAATACCTTTTCTACAGGTACTGGCTCTTTACCAGCCTGAATACAGTATTGCCTATCAATAACTGGTCCGGCACTCTAGCAGGACCTGTTGAGTTACTGATGTAAATTTGGGGGGTGAATACATGTCTCCAAGTCAAAATTGCCAGCATCTCCAACAGGGAGAGAATTTTACTGGCAGAAAACATCTAGACTTTGCCTAATGGTGTGTAAAACTCATATTTAAAATTGGGAGTGTAGGTCGTACTGTGTAACAGTGACTTGTTCTTTGTGAACCAGGAGATTGAATTGAGGGAGTATGGCTTGAGGGTCTGACCCAAGCCTTGCTGAAGGCAGCAGGGAGATTGTTCGGGGCAGGAGCGGGGGGGAACGTATTGGTTCCAGGAACTGTTTAAAATATTCCTGGCAATAGACCTGTATTTGATTAAGCATTTGCTTTATCCTGACTGTCTTCTGCTGGTTAGGGGCTAAAGAATTTTCGCTGTGATACTATGGCCACCTACACTTGTTTGATTTTCCCAGCAGGCGAACTTATTCAGATGAGGAAGACGGTAATAACGCTTTTCTCTGGTGCTGATGCAATAAATGACTGCTTCCTTTAGCAAAGCAAATAGCTCACTGGGGTGTGTAGACCAAAACACCTGTTCCACACTACAAGTTTCAAGAGAATGTTTTTTCCATACTAAAGTCTAACAGCATCGGGAAAGAGGTTTTGCACAGGGACCCTCCTTGAAAGTCATGGGGGGGTCCTCTCCATAGCCTCCAGGAGCTGCCACAACAAGGCTGTCTTGCTTTGAGGTTGGTAATGATTCTTTCTGGTGAAGGTCTAGTTGTTTCACAACCCAGTAAATCCTCAGTCTTCAGCTCAATGGAGGAATGAACATCCATTAGTGGGAGGATCTTCCCCTCTGAAAACACTGCAGCTCTTTCTCTCTTGAATGTAACAATGCCACTGAGCAGCAATAAATCTTTGTGCCGGGAAAACTTGGCGTGCTTGTCAGCACAAGGGAGCACAGCGGAGAAAGGAAATGTCTGTGAAACCACAGCCTTGGGCGCTCAAAAGTTTAGCTGTGCTGGTGAGCGAAAGGGTTTGAGACCATCTGAAAAATTAAATATGATCCTTTATTTCTCATGGTCTTCTGTGTCTCAGCTAGCTATCACCTAGGCAAAGGCTCTGAGCAGATTTCAGGAATTGGGTAAGGGTCTTCCTGGCTGATCATGATTTGAATGATGTTGAAGTGTTTTGCTCATGGCTTTTTACAGTAGGTGGGTTTAGTAATTTCATTAGAAATGGAAGACGAGTGCAAAATCCTCATATCTGATTTTCTTCTTGTTTCTTTTTATAAGCTCTAGTTAGTTCTTATTTATGTAGTAAAAAAAAAACATCTACTGAGAAGCAGGAGTTAAAACGGTACTACACAATGTCGTGTGCTTTGCTCTATTGCCTTCCTGGATTATAAATAACACAGCAACTTTCTCTTTCCTTTCCAATAGTACTGCTCCGTGGCGGTCTTGTGATGAGGTATGTGGCATTCTGCAAGTTTAAATGGAGCAAAGATGATCCTTCTTCTCCAGAGATGTGGAGTCAAAGGCTCTGGGTGTTCTGCTCTTATAGCTGTTCCGGGCAGCAGCAAACTAATAGGTTTCTTTAGCTGTGACCTTAGGAACATTTTTCCTATTTCTGTAGCCACTAACCTGCCCAGCCAGACCTTTGTGGATCAGAGGGAGTTTTGTGCCCAAGGCAGGATAGATGAGGCAGTGTGCTGCTCTTTCAGCCTGTGTCTGCCAGGGCATTGCTTTTCAGAGCAGCAGGGCAGCCTGCGTCCCAAAGCGGTCCCAGGAGTCTGGGTGTGATGCAAAGGCACATCCATTGACTGGAACCAGCTGGGAAGCTGTGGTGAGGCTTGCTTACCAGCAACCGGTCTTTGGATTAAACAGGATGCCGCTACCAAGGGTTTGGCTACCCTGCTTCCTCCCACAAAATACGCAAGTAGGGGGGAATTTCTGGCCAGGAAAGATGTGTCGCCTTGGGACAGTGGCAGAGGTGCTCTCCTTCTGCAGCGGGGTCTCCCCATCCTCCCTGGCCCTGTGGGCAGAGGGCATCATGCCTGCAGAGCTGGCCGCAGCATCCCAAGGGTTCCAGAGGTTAACCCCTCCTTAAATCTCCAACCCTTCCTGCTGCCTAAAAGTGGATTTTGGGCATATTTGTTTGCAGTAAGGTAAGGAAGAAGCAGAGGAAAACCTTAGTTTTCTATTGGGAAGTGCCTGTCAGTCTTTGCTGTGGGCAGGCTGCATGTCTCTGAAATAGTCTTTTGATTGAGGCACCGGTAGGTTAGGGGGCTTGGTTTGAGTTTTGATATTTTACTGTAGTCTCCCAGAGCAGGTTCCCTCAGATGTGGAGGTGTTGGAATGAGGCTTTGCAATACCAGATGCTAAGCAAAATGCTGATTTTTAAAAATATTTTTTTTCCATGTGTCCCTGAAGGTCAGAAATTTGCCAGATGCAGGGGGAATGAGGCTGAAATAACTTGGTAAAGCATTCCTGGTGGAAAACTTTCCACTTGCCCCTGAATTCATATGCCGTTTTCTTACGGCCTGGTGTTGTGGATCCCTGCCACAGTAGGTTTGACTTATCTTTGCCTGTAACTCAGAACTGATCTGTGTTGGGAACATCTTTTTTTTTTTTTTTTTTTTTTTTTTCCCCCTTTTGAAAAATGAAGTGAAAGTTTATCAACCTGTACAGTTAAATGAGAGCTCAGCCAGCCAAATGAGGAAGTAAAACCTTCCTATAGAATGAGCTCTAACCTGCTCACTGCACTTGTTTGCTCTCAGTTGACATCAGCCTTGCCATAAAGCCTCTAAATACAGGCTGACGACTTCCTTGTGAGCCTGGTACTGCTCTGAATCCAGCTTCTGGCTCTTGAATGGTGGGACGATATTGCTGGAACGCAGAAAGAGCAGCTGTCAGGTAAGGTGCAGAGCAAGTGGGGCTCCCTGCGAGTACGGCTCGCGCTCTGGGGAGTTTGCTTTTATTGTTTTTGGCAAATGCAGCAGGGAAGGTGGGGAAAAGAAAGGCGAATCTTAGTCATCAAGACAACAAATGATTGGTCTTGATGTTAAGAGTTTATGTGCATCTCTGATTTGTGCAAGTGAAAATCCTTGTTTTTCTGAAAGCAGAGCAGCCCATCTTCTTTCAGAGAAACAGCTCATGGAAGGGCTCGAATGGGCTGGCAGGCTGAGGTGGTTTGCAGCGTGATTCTTAGGGACAGAGGAGGAAGAAGAGGCGGCCCAGACCTAAGGTGTGAGGTGGGAATGCTATCATGGCAGGGAGCTGTTGCTCATGAATGGAGTTATGGCACGTACACCTGGTTTAGAGAAGACTCAAACCTGCTCTGCCTTGACCAACGCCAGCTCTGGCTGCGGCCGTGTCCCCTCTGCCCCAGCTCAGGCAGGCAGGACGGGGCTTTGGGGGGAGCTTTGAGGAGCCCCAGCTCCCTCTGAGTCAAGCTGGTCCTTAGTGCGTTTCTGTGGCTGGAGCTGCTGCTCAGATGCACACCCACTGGGCACCTGGTGCTCTGTTTGCAAGTGGAGCAAAGACCTGGTGGAAGGACTAGACAAAAGTTATTCTTTAAAGTCATTCAAGATGAGGAATTGGAATATAACCACTACTTTTTTGGAAGCTTTTTACAAAAAATTCAAATTATTTTTTTCTAATCTTCCAAATCTGTCAAAATATAAAAAAGACAGAAGACCTTGACAGGTGTCTCAATTTTTTGGTCAAAAGTAATTATTTTTAATTGCTAAAATGTTAAGATTAAAATAGAATTTCGGAACCACGACTAAAGCCATTCCATGTGTGCCTGTGTGTGTATGTGTATGCAAGAGGGGGCACAACACTGTAGACAGAGAGGGGTGCTTTTTAAGCTGAAACATAGGATGGGCACATGATAACCTGTGGATAAATTTAGCCTGGAAACGAGAAGACTTTGGCTCTCAGTGGAGAGAAAACAAGAGCAGCTTCCCAACAGGGTCTGCTGAGGTGAGAGGGGAAAAGTGGCAGGAGGAAATCTAAGTAGTTTGAAAATGAAGGTCATAAAGTTTATAAATGGGATTACACAACCTGTTTGTGATAGCAAAAGCTGGACTCTGTGATGCACAATTTCTCCTCTTGTCATACATTTTTGTGTTGTTATAAGCAACCAACTGACCTGTTGGACTTGGGCACGCTACTGACTGTTTACTAACGTGTAAGTTAGTGATTTTATTATACTTTTAATTCTCTCTTTAGAAGGGTGACCTCAGTGTTGGCTGTGACCGAGCAGAAACCCAGTGGTTAAGTTTACAGAACTAGCATGTTGCTGGTGATGGCCGATACTGGATCGTATCAACCCCAGGCAGCAACACAGAGCTCAGTGTTTGCCACGCGTTGCCCCAGCTCACCAAACCGAAGGGTGTACAGAAGGGCCAAGCCTTGCAAATGCTGCCTCTGCCTGCCAGGATGCAAAGTGTGCAGACGTGGACCACGGGCTCGGGGCTTCCCGGGATGGGGCTGGAAAAGCGACGTGGCGAGCAGCCTTCATCCAGCACGTGCTCGTGCGTGCTGCTGCTGGGGCTGCGAGGTGCACGCCGCGAGACGGACGTGGCCCCTGCACCCTCTGCAGCTGGAAAGCTGTCTGGTAAAATTGTGAAGGATTGAACCCGATTAAATCCAGGACAGATATATACACAACACAATGTGACGCTAATGTGGGAAATTTCTCTGATATAAAAAAAAAAAGCATCAGAATAGGTAGAAATACAGGTTTAAAAAATAATAGTGATGGCTATTAAAATATGTATTAATTGTTTTGTTTTCAACCTGAGGACAGAGAGCAACTAAAATTTTTCATTTACAGTAATTTATTAAAATAATCTAGACATAAAACCAAATCAAGTAGTACATGTTAAATGTTTGGAGCCACTGACTGCACACCTGGAAGCAGGGGCTTGCTAGCCCAGCTGTGACAGCTCCAGCTGTATTCAGATACAAAGATACATTAATGGATTTCAGTTCAGAGAGTAGTTATTTCAAAGCTGAGAAACCATTTCAGTAACGAAAAAGCAGGCAAATACCTTTTCATCCTCAGTGCATGAATTAAAAACAAGGATTAGATGTAAAAACTGTTACACTTGTGGATTGCACTGTGAGAAAAAACGGTGAAGCCCACTGGCTAAAATAAGCAATGCTTTCGTTTAGATGGAAAAATACACATGGTAACTGCTTTCCCCTTATATATATATGACATATTCAAGGTATTTTTTTATCCTACTGATGCTATTTGTCACTTTTAAACAGAGTGCCGGATTTCTTCCACAGAAGAATACCTGAAAGTTAGAAGGCTATGTAGAAAAGTAAAGGCCAAAGTTGTATGAGGTGGGGTTATAACTAATTATCAGTTTTTCCTGCTGAACTAATCGGTTTTAAATTAATGGAACCCAGTGTGGATTTCTTCCCCGCAGCCCAGGGGGCCTCTTAATGCCTCGGGGAGGAGCTGCACTCAGGCTCCTCTCCCATCTCCCTGTCTCCAGTACCTCCGTGCCTTCCTCCAGATGCTTTTGGCTTCTGGGCTCCTGGGGTGGCCCGCGGCTGGGCAGGGAGCTCCGGCCAGTGGGCTGGGGATGTGCAGGGTGGGCTGGGAAGGGGAGCCACCGGGTGCAATGTGGTTATGGCTCTGGGCTCATCATGAAGGTAGTTGTTTGGTCAGTTAATTCTGCATCATTTGCTGACCGCAATTAGTGAAGGGAAGAGGGCCGCCCTTATGTCCAACGTGTGGGTAGAAGTACCAGCCACGGCTTTTATCCAGGTAACACCAATAATTGCAGAGCTGTGGCAAGAAAAGCTTCGGTGCAAGCATGCCAACAGTGACTGAAGATGTATGGCTTGATGGATGAGTGGTCACCATGCATGTCCTTCCGTTGTCATGCTTGTTGGGCTGAAGCAGCTCTGGCTATGCCTGCGTATGCTGCCCATTACCTTCATTTACTGGCTAGACCAGAAATGTAAATAGTGCAGTTCTGGAGAAGCTTGAAGCAGCTTTCTGCTGCTTCTGCACACTCATTTCTGGATTACCAGTTTCTCTTGACAATAAATATAAGTGAAATTGAAACCACTTTTCAGACTACCTGCTTCCAACCACTGCCCTGACAGCTTTCAAAAAACAAGCTGCTTCTCTGAATATAAAAGTCCTCACTGAAATAACAAATAACACGAAAAGAGTAAATCAGGCATCGGAACAGATAAGTGACAGAATTGCATAAGGTATGTTTATGTGTACGCAGATGGACACATACTAGGAAAGACAAAACTATAAAAAAAAGTTCCCAGCTACTTTGCAGGCAACATTTCCTTAAATCACTTGATGAAAATTGCTATAGTTGTTAGGTTGCTATGGCATCTGAGCTCATCCAACAACATTTGACAGATTTTTATCTGTGTCTCACAAACCACACTGAGCAAATTGAAAATCCCCGGTTACACCGTCCTTTGTATCATTTCCTGTGAGATAAGTCTGAAGAACAAACTTACGCATACAGCGTGTCTGTGTACAGACAGGCTTGCATAGTTCATGAAGTAGGATGACACCTGTCTGACATAACGCCTGGAGAGTGGCAAACATTGCATGAGACGCTCCAGTGCTTTTATAAATAAGAGTGGACCAGAAAAATGCTTTAATGCTTCTCTCTTCAGAGAGAAGACGGCTCATCAGATAGTCTCTTTGCTGTGCACTAGGCCAATAACTGAGATCACACGTTCTTCCTTAACACTTGTGTTTTGTTGTTTCTAATCTTTTCCTCCCTCAAGCTGATGCCTGTTGGACAAGGCTGGGAAGACAAGAGCACTGGGTTTAAAGGAACGTAAATGCCTGCTAAGATGGCACTGGCCAGTTCACTTTCTAGCAAACCAGTACCACCACGCTCAAGAAAAGTTTCTACGGCGGGTGTGGAAGTGCACCAGAGCAAGCTGGATTTTTTCTGCAAGCTGGGCTATGGTAAGCAGGACATCTGCAAAGTGCTGGAGAACCTGGGCCAAGGGGCCCTGGAGGATGATGTGCTCAAAGAGCTGATTCGGATGGGGAGCAAACCTCAAGCTCTGGAGAGCCAGGCTCAGTCTTCCCCACTAAAACTTGTTGCCCGTGGATCATGTAGCACCACACCAGGGTCCAAGTGGCTTGGAGAAGATGAAGATGACTCTTCCGATTACTTGAGACCCATTGTGATCGATGGCAGCAATGTTGCAATGAGGTAAGCTCTGTTTCCTAAAAGGGAACTCTCTTCCTCTGAAGCTTTTGAATTTTAAAGCTGGTGGCTTGAAGTATGTTTTCATTTCAGGTGAGAGGAACGTTGATGTATTTGATGTGTAATGTACGAACCACCGCTGTTCCTTGGCTGAGGCACAGCTTGTAGGGACCCGCTGTCTCTGTGCCCGTAAATACGCACGCCAGATGCAATCACTGGCTCGCTCTGCATTTTGACCTTTTATAAGCCAACAGCTAGCTAACCACTACTGTTTCTACTGTTTATGGCAGTATGATTCAGCAGCTTGCTCTCCTGTTAGTTCACCATGATCTTTCCCTGCCTTTTCAAATGCGTACCTAGGATTTCTAAATCTCTATGCTGAGGTGTTTCCAGGAAAAGCTGGTGAACAGATAGACAGAACAGCCCAACTAACTTAAGAAGGAGAGGGAAAATAAGAAGACAGGTGACTGTGGTGCCTAACAACATTGCACTTGTACTGTTTTGACTTGCAAGCAAACTCCAACAATGTTCCCGGCTTGTATATTTTTGTTGGTTTTCGGTTTGGCTTCGTTTTTATGGAAATATCAGGGAAGTGGTAGTTGACTTGTACTGAATAGTCTCATTTCCTCCTTAATTAGTTCTGTTTCTGGGAAATGTCATAGCAACCCATCCTGGCCAATTACATTTCCTAAGCAGTGTCCTGACACTGTGAAAGCACTCTTACTGATGGGGAGCCTGGCACATCCATGTGGACGGGGAATCCAAAGACAGCAGTGGGTTGGCCTCTGTTTACCCCAGCAATATGAACAGCCAGAGGCTCCAGCAGTTGAGAGTCTGGGATGCGCTGGCTATCCATCGGTTTTACCCTGTTAACTTCCCTGCCCACGCAGCAGGGCCAAGCCTGTCCCCGCAGGTTGGGACAGGGCAGGGGAGGGCTTCCTCCTTCAGTTAGCTTTGGTGTGAGGTGAGGTGAGACCACATCCCCTTCGGTTAGAGGGCAAAGTGGACAAGTGCATCCAGAGCAACTGGAGACTAAGCAAATTATGCCATCTTCTGGGTGAAGGGAGAAATCCCATCCAAAAACGAGGGATTCCTCAGTCAGGGCAGCTCCTGAGGAGCGAGAAATAAGCAACAGAGCAAAATCGCTTCGCCTTGGCTGGGCCATGAGCTCGGTAGCCAGGTGTTAGGATGTCCTGCCTCCATGTGCATTTTCACCCTAGACCCTCCTTAGGGTGTCCTTCTTGCCTCTCTGCAAAAGAGATGAGCACCCATTCAGGCAGAGGGGCTGAGCTGAGCACCTGCCCTTCCGTTGCGTTAGGGGCAATACTACCCCGACTGGCCGTGTGCTCCATTCTTCTGGCACAACCTTGTCCTCACCAATTTACCAGGGCTTTTTTAGAGCAGGCTGAGGTGGACAAGGCAGAGAAGAGCGTTGTTTCCAAGATGGCAGAAGATGCAACCTTGCCGCTGAGCAGGAGGCCCAGAGTAGGCTGGTGGCTAATGAGATATAGTGCATGTTTTGAGCTTGGAGTACTCTGGGAAAGCTCTGAGATCATCCCGCTGTGCCAGCCTGTGCACGGGAGTTTGCTAGACAGAGATTATTTAAAACAAATGTCATTATAGGTATGTGCAGCAGATGGCTTGAGCTAGCATGTCATATTGCTTTCCTAGCCCACATGCCCACATAAATGGGTTTTCAAGAAGCCACGTGTGCTTCTGGCATGTAAAATCTAAAGCTTTTTGTAGAATAATTTTCAAAATTTGAGTCCGAGAGATGTTTGCCTGCTAGATTATTGAAGGCTGGTGTTTTGCTGTGGATTCCTCGTCTTTCACCTAAAAGGAATTAGAGGAATGTGAAGTACTTCTGAGTTTCAGAAAGGCAAAGGTTTTACAGCTCTTCTCAGACATCCCCAACCTCTGTCTTGATAAAGTTAAAGACTACCTGGATGATGGAGAAGACTATTGAGCATGTCAGTTCAGTTTGTACAGAACTGACACAGCCTGGAAGGAGCTGCTTTCCTCTCCTGGATGCGTTTCAAAGTGGTGCCGAATGGCATTTACTTTGGCTAATGGCACAGGCTTGGTGAATGCTTTTGGTATCCTCATTGTAATTTTTCTGGTTTGCTGCTGTCAGATAGAGAAGGGCTGTTTGCAGAATTCAGGGAAAAGGGATGTTAGGTTTCCTTGCTGGGTAAGCATCATCACCAACAACCATAAAAGTGCAGGAGAAGCAGCAGTTTAGGGATGAAGCTGTCAAAAAGTTGAAGCTTGGGGAGGCAGTTGCCTGTGTGGAGAAAAACATCGCGAGCCTTTGTATTTCTAGCTTAGGACTGGTGTTTCTGGAGCATTTCAGAGTTGGCGTTGAAGGCCCATTGTGGGGTGCAAGGTTTTGAAAAGGACGTATATGCCCCAGGGTAATAAAGCAAGTGAGTTGGCGGTCTCCAATCATCAATCAGCCTATCCATAGAAACTGAATGGAAAATAACCTTGCCTTCAGCCAGTCTCACTAGTCAAGCATCTCAGTACACTTTGCGTTTCCATCAGATGTAATGAGAAACGTAGCCATCTGCCAGCCTATCCACAGGGAGCGGGCAGGATGGTTTGGCAAGGCTAGTGGAAAAAATAAATGGAGTTGTGTTAATACGAAAAGGGAACTGTCATAACCCTATTCACTGCACACTGAAGAGGCTACCTAGTCTAGTGCTTGTGCTTACACCTAGTTTTTAAGCTGTGGTAGGTACAGAGGCCTCTTCCTAGGCCAGCGGAGTCCTGCGTTAGGCTCTCTCCCTTCTGCCAAAGCTGTGGCTGATGCTGTGTCATGACCAGGTGGAGATGGGGCCATTCGCAGTTTTCAGAAAGAGTTATTTCGACTAAATGCCTTCTCAAAGGGGTTGGAATTGCATAATTTAAAAAGGAATCACTGCATGCTAATTATGCCTTAATTGCCAGAGTCACAGCAAGGCCAAATTGCTCCTTCAGCTTCTGAGAGATGGGCCTTGCTATCTGTGACCCAAGTGCAATGTACCCTGTGGCTGGCGGGAGGGAGAGAGTTGGGACTGAGTTATGACAGATCAGTTATGGTCCACGGACTACGGGGATGCGTGGGAAAGGTGACTGACAGGAGCCAATCTGTTGTCAGGTGACACAAATTCACCACACAAGGAGAATGTAAAATTTTAAAGCCCCTGCTCCATTGCACGGCAGACATTGGTGTTCAGTTGTGTCGACACTGCAGCATGCTGTGCGTGTACATATTCTTTTAGATACACGTTCCCCAGGCTTGGCTGTAGCAATGTAGCAGCAACTGGATTAAGTGATAAAGCTGAGAAACAATTCCAGGTGCCTCTTCTCTCTTGTTCTGCTTGGCCTTTTGGCCGAATCACTTGTGCTTGGGTGCTTCACTTTCTGCACTGGGGGTACATCTAGAACTACTTTCTAAAACTGACAGGGTCATATATATGAGTAGTCAATGTTAAAGCAGGCTGTTGCTGAACTTGTAAGTTGTGGTATTAAAGATGTACCTAAACTTCCTTTTAAAGGGAGTTAACTGAAAAAGTCACCTGAACTTTCAAGACACCTGTCCAGGTGACTTTATACCTATCCTGGGTAGATCCTATCCTTTAAAACCAAACGAAACAGCTGTTCTAGAATGGAGATTAGGTGTGTTGAGCGCCTCAGACCATGTATTATTGGTGAGGGTTTTTTAAGACTTCCCATTGCCTGGGTATCTATTAATAAACAAGCAGGTTTCTTCCTCTAAATCGTACTATTTTTCATTTGTGGTCACACTTTCAGCACTGGGACTTTTATTAGGTGTAAAACAGAGCTTTGGTTATGAGGCTGATGTAGGCAGAACCTAGAGATGCATTCCTGGGGGACGGAGCGGGGAGAGGCATCTAAGACTGTGGCATTGCCCTCGACTGATCTGTCACCGCAGGTAGGTGTAGTAACCAAGACAGTCATTTACAAGTACGTTTTGCAGAGGTGAAAGCCTGAGTGAGACTGTGGCGATATTATCCAGAAAGCTCAAAGTACAAGGATGAGGTTTCTGTAGATAATGTGAGGGCATTTATCCATTTTAGGACTTTGTGTGGAGTTTATTTCTGTTTACTTGTGCAGAGATGGTTAACAAATTACCTTCCTTTACACGTGCACTGCACTGTAGTCGCATTTTAGATAAGCAAATGACAAGCAATGAGAACTTTCAAAGGGGGGAGAAACTTCGGAAGGATATCACCCCAATTGTTTCTCTTGAGGTCGTTTTCTGTGTCTTGCTCTGAATATTGATAATTCTTCAGAACCTGCCTTGCCTGCATCCTCTACGGCACCCGTCCTAGGGCTTTCCTACCTCTCTGTGCAATGAAGACAAAACCCCACCAACTAGGGCAAGATAAACATGGGCCTGAGGTGCCTGTGGCCATCTCCACTGAGGCCTTGTCCCTTTTTTGGTGTCCTGGGTTAGGTTCTCTGTATTTCCCATCCTGCCTTTTACAGTTTTCCTTCCCCCATAGTTTGACTCCTGTTCCCAGGAGAGGTCAGCGGCTGAATGACCTGCGATCACACTTGCAGCTGCCTTAGACGTTAAAATCCCTAATGTCACTGTTACCACAGAAGAAAATTCCTGCATTTTGTTTCTCATAGGAGAGCCTTGTGGGTTTCTGCCTGTGTTGGAAGAAACTCTCACTCCTCAAACCATTAGCAGATGAGGCATGTGAAGGGTCTAACACAGCCTAAGGTCTTGCTTGTACTTTAGGAGCCAAGTCCATCCAGATACAGATGGAAGCAACAGGCTTGGGTAGCAGGCAGGTCATGGAAATGGGGGATAGGATACCTCTGGTTTTAAATATCCAAACTGCTTCAGATAACAAGTTTCTAGTTCTACTGGAGGAGGTGTTTGGATCTGCCCAACCAGGACACCCTGCCAGGTTGTTTTCTTGGAAACTGGTGAATGACACAAAAGCTGTTTATTTTGCCATTTCATTACTGGCTCAGTTAAAGAGAAGTCTAAGCTTCTTGAAAGCTTTGCCTCACCATCCTCCTCCTTTTTTTTTTTTTTTTTTTTTTTTTTTTTTTTTTTTTTTT